CGAAGTACATCGAGCCAGCGGAGTGGTCGCGAGACTGGAGCAGAAGTTGAGAGCAACCAGTGTTGTCATACAAGCAAGGCCATGAAGTAAGGGCAATCTAGAGGACTTGCCGCATTGAAGATAACAAGCTATAGAGGATACTGTGGCTGACTGCCAAGTACATACGACCACAGGGTGTGGAAAACAGGGCTTCCCGTCCGCTCAGCCGTACTTAAGCCACACGCCGGGAGGTTAGTAGTTGGGTGGGTGACCACCAGCGAATCCCTTCTGTTGTATGTTTTTGCCTTCTCTCGATTTGCTCCGGCATCTTCCCTGATGAGATTGCACATCGGCCCATGCTTTAAACATCCATCCTCCCCCTGATAGGCCCCTTAATTGACCGGATGCAGTACCGAGGTATAGCGTTCAGTGCGCACGCAGTCTTGCCCCGGTGATGCAGGCGCTAAGATAAGTCCAGGCTCTCAGGCACCGACCATGGCGCCAGGCAGCAAGGCAGCCAAAGCCTCTTTCCGCCCTCCAGCCATTGTAGTCGTCCTGAACCATAAGTGAGTTTCTGTAGTGTTGCTTATCCAAGCTTCTATTGAAGGACATCCCCCTGATCTCAAAAGATTCGTGTCAGCCATGTCGATGAAAGGGTTGAAAAGTAAGTGAACGCGCCCGCGCGAATAGGGCTATGTCCCGGGGGACGGGCCGGTGCATTTGCCCGCATGGCGTAGGAGAATCCTACTTATAGCCAAGTACCAGCGGAGCAGCGCAGCAGCATAGGGCAGGAGGTGTACTGTGGGCGATCCTGTGGTTTTCTTGGCAGGAGGGGGAGGAGCGGGCACGGTGCATGATGGGTGACGTGGGCTGTGCGAGCATGGGAAGATGTGCTTATTCCTGCCTTCTATTCTGTCTGCAATAGAGACAGTAAGGACAACTACGAAAGTCAGACAGCGACTGGGTGGTTTATACCCACCGGCCTCGGAGCTATGGGACGATGTATCGTCTATGTTCTTGTGAAACACGCAGTCAGTGCAGGTTCCGCTCAACCCTCCAGCTCCGTGTTGCGCTGGAGGTGGCATTTGTGTTGTCTGTGCTTAGAACACGTACTTCAGTCCATATCGATTGAGATGTAGACAATTGGCCTGTGTCGTATGAAGACATGTCTGTAAGTGAGATACGAGGCATAGACTTGAAGAGAATGTGCTTTACCCCGGGTCACACGAGACAAGAACGGAGGCATCAGACCATCTAATATAATAATTATATAGTACTGGCGGCATTGATAAAAGAATAGTTATATAAAAATTATCAAACTTCCACTCAATACCGGTGCGGATACTACAACAATATCGGAAAATAAGAATTGGACGGCATCGCGGTTTGCGGCCTCGCGGGCACAGCAAGATCTCGTGCAGCTTTTGAAGTAGACACAGGGGCTATCATAGCGGACGGCAAATTCTCGCCCGGGATGAGTCTTGCGTCACCAAAGAGAAAGGAACAGCCTTTTAAATGCAGTTAGGTCGTGGGTAGTGGATTGACTCACTTCTATCTCTTTACACTTACTACCTTCTGTAGTGGTTTTGCCTTCTCCAGAGGATATAATACTTAAGCTTGCTTTTTTTTTACTACTACTCCTACTACTACTACTACTGTACTACTACTACTAAGATATATTTCATTCGTCCCTGCCCTGCGACCTGCGCCAGATACTTGAAAGGCAGCTTGCATAGCCCTCAGAGCTCCCACTGCGCAGCCGCTGCACGGGTTACAACAGCACACTTTGGCTTAATTGTCTCCGTATCATCTTCCACATTCCCCAGGAACGCTTCAGTTCTGGGCTCCTTAATTGAGCTCATTGGTTGAGGGTTGCGGGGTCGATCTTGTGGCCGAGGTGCTGCTCGAATAAATACAATGTAAAGGGTCCCTACCTCTGAAAAGTCCGACCGGATACAGTGCGGGGGAAACAGCTGTACATCACCACCATCACCACTTCAAGCGTGGCTCTGAACCGATTCCAGCGACTGGGAAGAAAGCGTCTTTGGCGCGTGAAGACGTTGTGCTCTGGTATGCAGATTGACTGCGCCGTTCGGGACGGATGAGCCAATAGTCGGTGATATGCGATGGTCGATAAGGAGTGAGGGTGGCGGAGCTGATGGGGAACCATGATTCAAACCTCAAACCTCAAGGCCGACATGGTCGCTCGCCTGAATCTTTTCTGTTAGAACACGCTAGTCTCCCAGCAGATTAATCCTGGTATTCTCCAATTATCACACCGGAAAGATGACCCAATGGCTCTCGGTCTTACCACCTCATACTGCCTTGGCTTTACTCCAAGCATCTAGTTTCACTGATCTAACATGCCTGCTGGGTGTTTTCTTGCGCTTCTCGCACTCCCCTCATGGAGCGGCTTTTTGTACAGAATCTCGCCTATGGGTGGTACTATTCTTCACCTCAGGGAATAGATTGGAAGACAATGGCAATACGGTCTATCTTGTTTGGCCATTGATTGTGTCCTTCATCGAATCACTTTGCACCCTCGGGCATTATTTAAAGAAGAGGCAAAAACAACGAAAGGGAGAACCCAGTTATGGCTGGCTTGCAAGTGCTTTACGTCACGTTCCGGCAAAGTGCAGTCGAGGCCCTATTTTCGGTGGCTTGCAGGGGCGCAGCATCACAGCGTCTACCAAGCGCTCATACAAGCCTTGTCATCCTACCCAATCATCTTAGCCACCAAATCCGTGATAGGATGATATTTCTTGCCCACAGAATGTACTTAGACGCCCACTGCCTCCTCATGCCTAGATCTTTTCAGCCTTGCATCTTTTGATCTTCCTACCTCTACTGTGGTTTCATGACAGAAGATGGACATCCAGCCTTTGCTCTCAGTGGGCTTTCTGTGCACTCCCCTTGTCTTCCCCACTGTCTAGCACAGTGTACCAAAACTATGTGCAGCGAGTGAACCCAATGACGAAATTCATCACAGCCCAGTGCGCAAGAGACTTAAGAATGCGCCCTATCCCATCCGGAATAGAAATGTCTTCTTACCATTTCCCCTTTCTCAAAACTGTTCTCGCTCGTCTCCCACGAACCTCATCACAGCATCCTCTGGTCCTGATTTGTGTTGATAACCTCCTGCAAGTCTCGGGCACTGTTTCCAAAGTGGAGCCATGGAACATAGCATTGAGGAATTGAGAAAGACATATGCTGAACTGTGTGCTACCGAAGCCAAGAGAACGACCCTGGTTGAGGTTTGCGAAGAAGAGCTGAACATAAGTCTGTTTCAAAACCACTAACATAGATGCTCCTAGGGTCTTTTTGCGCATATTGACGGTCTGCAGCTTGAGCTGAAAGAATCGAAATGTCAAACCGAGGAATATAAAAGGCTTTATGATTCCTACCGGGGCGATTATCTGGAGTCCGAGAAACAATACCAGGCCGTGCTTCATTCTCAGGTTCATACTTGCTACCTGCCCCAACCCCTAGTCAGGAGCCCGCATGCTGACTTGCAATCCCTAAGGCCAAGTTAAATTATGTCTCTGTCTTGATTGACGGAGATAGTATGAACGTCGGTCCTTCTTTCCCCGAACCTTGCAAGGAAAGCTAAGATCATTTACTCACCCCCGACCACAGTTCCAAGAATCCTTGGTCCGAGGCGAAGAATCGGGCGGGAACAAGGCGGCGCATCTGCTGATCGAAACCATACAAACCCATCTGCGTACAGTTGATCGGGATCTCTCACCCGATATATCCATCAGGATTCGTGTATACGCCAACGTCGAAGGCCTTTCCAAGGCATATCGCTGTTCCCAGATCTTGGAAAGCGATAGTTCCATGAGAGCATTTATTCACGGCTTCAATAAGGATAATAGACTGTGTGATATCGTGGATGTGGGCTATGGAAAGGAATGTGCTGATCGTAAGCTGGAAGGTCAGTCGATCCTTCCCCTGAGATTGTCCCCGGCGCCCAACTTATGTGTAAGTCTCTTGGCTGACGATTCTCGGCCCGAACAACCTCCGCAGCTCTCTTTGTACAAGACATACGTGATGTTCACTGCCGTCGGGTCATATTCTGCGCCTCGACAGATAATGGCTATGCGCGTGTCCTCAAGCCGTATCTGGAGTCTGGGCGTATCTCACTCGGTGAAGGACCACCATTTGCGCGTGAGATGCAAGGTCTGGCAGAAACCCTACCCGTCGTGTCTCTCGGAGATGTTTTCATGGAAGAAAAGCTCAAGTCCGAGCGACGCGGGTCCTTTGGTACCCTCGAAACGGCAGACACTCCACCACGAACCCCGACACGGAGCTACGCATTGGCCGCCGCGAGGGCAGCCCTTTCGCCCCAGCCGGTGTCGCCGCTCATGACAACCACGCCGGCTTCCACCGCTACGCTGAAAGGCTTTGATGCGAAGGTGTTCCTGAACGCCAAAGGCCAACGGGTCGACCGGAGTCTGACGTACCCTAATCATGTCGCCGCGCAGTTGAGGCGTGAGAAGCTGTGTAACAGGTTTCACCTCCTGGGAGACTGCTCTTATGGCGATCAATGCACCCACAAGCATGGAGAGTCACTGTCTCAAGAGCAGAGAGTAGCCCTCACCGCTATTGCTAGACAGTCCGTCTGCACTATGGGATTTGCGTGCAGGGATGAGAAGTGTACCTCGGGCCATCGGTGTCCGAGGGAAGGTTGTTCCGGGCGGGACTGCAAGTTTCCTGCTTCTATGCACAACGTGGATACCAGGGTCGTTTAACGAAGCCGGTGTTGTTGCTGTGTTCCTCAAGATTCATGATCATAGTTTTCTTGCAGGCGGTTTCAGGTACATACGACCACAGGGTGTGGAAAATAGGGCTTCCCGTCCGCTCAGCCGTACTCAAGCCACACGCCGGGAGGTTAGTAGTTGGGTGGGTGACCACCAGCGAATCCCTTCTGTTGTATGTTTTTTTTTTGCCCCTCGTTCTTCTCGTTCCTATCTTCATCAATGGATCCATGATCTTTTCCCCTACTTCTTCTTTCTTTTTTTAGTAGACACTTCAATGAGTCTAGGTATGGTTTGTTGCAGTGCTGTGAAGAGAAATGGTGATA